TTGCTCGGAAACCCGTTGCCATGCCTCTGTTGCCTCTGTTTGCACTGTTCTGCACCTCTGATAATTGTGAAAATTCTTGAGATGCTTCTGAATTACTCTCTGATCATTATGGAATATCACCGGCCAAGATATATGACCACCGGCTATGGAAATATGGTAACCGACCAGAAGTTGGTCCACCGGCTAGACTTTTGCGGTCGGCCGGAACTAAAGATTGCCGACCGGCCATTTCTTCCTGCAGAATACTGGTTTTGCTGCAACAGAGAGTAGACAGTGCATGACAAGGTATTTTCAAGGCAATGTGTGCATAGCCACTCTCCCTATCATGCAATAAACTCAAGGGAGTATGGCTCTCGGTCCTTGGGCCACCAATCACTCATTTCGATACATGATGGCCAAAGGTTCCAAGTTCGCAAATCAATGTAAAATGAATGCAATGAAAACAAATGAATGCTACAAACTCTATCATGTTGGGATCAAGAGTGTCGGCGACCGAGGATTGAGGCGTATTTCGTCACTTTAAGTACGAACACACCTCATACCTCATGTTTGGTTTGACACCCCAAACCAAACACAATGCAATGCATGTATGCAAAATGGCTCAAATATGCAAAATGGCTCAATTATGCAATATGGGGCTAAGTCAGCAAAGCATGCCAAATGCGATGCAACTTAAACATGCAAATGTAAAATGTGCTAAGCATGCAAGATATAATGCAATGCAAGCTAAGCTAATGTAACAAGAACATGCAAACATGATATAATGCAAGCATACAAATGACGTAGCAAGATGCAACATGCCAAACATGCAATCATGTACAAGGGTGGACTTAAACCGGAATGGGAGGCCTCAGCCATGCCCCAAAACAGTGGCCAAAATACCAAAAATAAGGCACTAAAATGCGAGATAAATATGCACACATGTTGGTCCATCAATTAGGCCACAATGCATAACCTTCAAACATGAGCGAGATGTGATAAATATGAGGATATGGCATTACAATAAACTCTGAAATCACATGAAGAATGATGCCAAATCGACTACACAATGCAAACATGAAATGTTAATGGAGTTAAAGCTCAAAGCTAGCTACGAGACTTGAACCATGACTATGTCAACCAAGCCCCAAATGGTCAAAGCGACTCAAAACAGTCTCGAGGCAGACCAAAATGAAGCTAAAACTCAAATGGAACAAAGCCAAAACATGCTGTAAAGAAGGGCACAAAACAAGACGCATACAAGGCCCAAAAGGGCAAATACACTACACCTCTTACAACTGAACATGACATGACTTAGGCAAATAAAATCAGAGTTATAATACATCAAAACAAACCCCAAAACCCAATGAGAAGGTCTTCCAAAGACCAAATCATGGAGGCACATGCAATTGTCCAAATAAAGAGCATGAAACAACAACTCTCCAAAGTATAGGATAGGTGATAAATGCAAGTGTGTGGCCACGAAACATGGACTGAAATATGATGGCAAGTGATGCCAAATCACTGAAATAGTTCAAATGAAGCATGCTAATGACTCACACACCCGAAGCCAACAAGCTAGAATGCAAAGAGGCTATATAAAGCATGGCAAGCATGACCAAATTGACACCAAACAGAACTTAAACACGTTAAAACATGACTAAAAACTTCACAAAGTTAAGTCAAAACATGCAAGCGTGGTGGTCTAAATGCATGATGCATTTCTAAGCAAAATGGAGGAATGCAAGGCAAGTGTATGGTGCATGCAAGGGGTCAACAAACCAACCTAAAACAGAGGTAAACCATGACCAAATATCACTAAATACCCACTGAGATGGAGCCAAAATCGACTAAGCATGCATGCTACCCTTATGAGCCAAAAAGACAAGCATGTGACACACAAATGGAGAGGGGTGTCCCTCCCCTATACAAGACCTCAAAACCACTTCACCACCACTGAAAATCCTCTGGATTTCAGTGGTGAGAAGGCCAATACACGAAAATTCCAAAGTTCAACAAAGAAGGCACAAAAAGGGGCCAAACAAGGCCTAAGAGGGGGAGGACGACCCCCAACACCAAAATGACCTTAAACAAACATCTTAAGCATAAAAATACAGAACTTTTATCAGTTATAAACTAAGCTCAAAACAGCATGCAAGATAGGCTAAAAGCTAGTGCAAAAATGGGGAATATAAAGCAATAGTGCCCACCCTTGAAGAACACTTCAAGAACAGCAACTCCAGCCCCTTTCTCTAATCAAAACCAACCTTAAAGCTCTGAAACCAGTCCCTCAACACCTCAGTAACCAAAGTATAGTGTAACACTAGGTGTTTTAGTACAAAAATAGGAACAAAAACACGCTTTTGAACACTACTACACACACAATCTAGAGAGAGAGGGAGATATAGAGAGAGAAAGTGATATATGTGATATATATCTTTGAATTGTTCAACCCCCCTAAAGGAGGAGGGAGGCCCTCTTTTATAGAACAAAAAGGGCCTAAGCTTCTTAGAGAAGCTAAGACAAAGGGGTTAAGCTTCTTGGGGAAGCTAAGGCAAAGGTCCAAGCTCCTTGGGGAAGCTAAGGCAAAGGGTTCAAAGCTTCCTCAAGAAGCTAGAAAATATGGCCGATTGACCAAACAAACAGCCGGCCGACCAAAAACAATGCCGACCGGCCATAATCAATGGCCGGTGGCAACAAAATAGGGCCGGTGGCCTCAAGCCAGGGCCGGTGAGGTGTGGGGATGACCAACAAGCCATTCTCTGCCCTCAGAAGCAAAAACAAACAAGTTTTTGGTCCACGACCAAGCACAAAACAGGCAAGTTAAGAGATCCTGAGGCAAGGCGCGCGGCCGAGACCTTCGGGAACTCAAAACGAACACGAATATGGATGATCATCGAGTGTTCAAACGATGACATCCAAGTCTTGAGGACGGTCAAAAATGGGGTGTCTACACTTATGTAGTACGTATTTTGTTGTGAGTTATTAATATGCAGATGTATGGTTTTGTTATGATGTGCCATGTAAGCACAGCTCTATGGACAAAGTTTTAAATTGCTTCTGTTTGGCTCCTATTAACTCTGTTAAAATACGTTTGGTTTGGTTTGAGGCCGTAGGTAATCTTATGATTACTGGCCGGTTATGTCCTTAACCCACGGGGGCGGGTTCGGGTTCTGGTCATGACAGCCAAAGTAAGCTCAATACTTTTAATTTCACCATTCAAGAGTCAATTGAACAAAATCCCCTTCATCAATTCAATTTGAAAACTAAGATTTCATAAAATTTTGGGCTTTCTCCTCATTTGCATATAGAAGGTCAATAGTTACAATTTCTAGCAATAATCAAAAAAAGTATGTCTAAATTGTACCAAAACACGGGAAAAATCCCCTTTAATTTCTCAAAACTCCTCTCATTTAACAAATTATCCCATACATTGTTATGAATAAGAAATTATCACATATAAATCTCAAATAAAAAATATGACAAAGTTAAAAATACCCCCTACCTCGAAATGGTAGCTAAGAGATGAAGACCCAACAGAAAGTTAATCAAAAACATGATCCAATCGTGAGAATCTCGAACCAAGCTTGCTCTTCACTTTTGTTGACGGATTTAAGGTCAAACTAAAGTAAAACTTGAGGAAACCAAGGGTTTTTAGGGTTAGGGTTCAAAATGGTATTAGAGAGAGAAAAGTTAGAAAAAGTGAGAAGGAAGAGTGTTTGGTCGCCTTTTAAAGAAGCTATCCCGACTAGATCGCTCAAACGAGCTTTTCATCGCTTGAGCGGTAAACGCAAGGTTCCAGAAGTTTTGTAGAGCTACAATGAAAATACTGGAGCCTAAATTATGCGCTCGAGCGGTCTTGCCTGCAAACATGCAAGATACTGGGAGCTGCGCATCTACACTCAAGCGACCAAATGACCGCTCGAGCGGTCACCCAAACAACCTGTTATACAATCATTTGTGGCAAATGTGCAAAATGGCAAAGAAGCTTTGTTTGGTGAAACAGTGTTTATGGATTATTTTATTTTATTCATTTTGTGAGATTTATATTAGTCTTTGGTGTAAATTTTACGTATAATTTATGAGGCAAAAAATAATTTAAATAAGTTGCATATATAAATTATAACAATATTGGAAAAGTGCTTTTACTTTTACTTATTATTAATTTTTAATTTGAGAAAAGTTGCACCAAACATATTCATTACTAATTTCTTTTTGTAAGCATATTGCTTAACTAAACCAATTTTGACGGCTCTAAAACTCATTACTAATTTCTTTTTGTAAGCATATTGCTTAACTAAACCAATTTTGACGGCTCTAAAATACACCGCATTGAAACTTGTTCAAATCATTTGAATTAAAGCTAACAAAAAAATATAAAAAAATAGCAAACCGGTCCAATCCAGATCAAATCGCACTGTTCAAATTAGTTTTCTCAATGGATGATTTGGCTTTGATTCTTAAAATAAGTGAATCCTACTTTATGGTTTGGTCCATAGTTCTATAATTGTGATTCTGATTTGCAAGTGAACTAGATTGTTTAGATATTTATATATACGTGTATATAATTTGTTATTTATAGTTCGATTTGATTTCAAATTTTATAAAACAATAGGTAGTGTAATTTGGCCTTGGTTTACTTCAAAACCAATCCATGGTCACTCCAAATTTGAATGTTGTTTTTCTGCTTACCTTAGCACCATTCATCTGTGTTTGGATTCTTTTATTTGCTGAGGGCAAAAGGTAATGGAGAGAGGTAGATTACTTGTGCATGTTCATATTCTAAGGGTAACTAAACAAAAAAATGGATTTTTTTTTTTTTTTTCAAACCAATATATAGTTTTCTTCTTATTTTCACCAGAAAAAAAGGGGAAAATTCCCTTACCTTTTCTTTTCCTTCCACAAATTCAAAATCCAAACATATAAAAGGTAGCCAACAATAATCAGATAGAGCAATACAAATTGATTAAGCCAGAAAGAGGGGGGGAAAAAGGAAAATGAGAGCAGCAGTACAAGATCCATGGACTAATGACTCAAAAATCATTGAATTTACAAAAGACAATTGAGTTTACAAAGATATATGAATTTGTCCAATCTTGTCAGTATACAATGGTTCCTTTGACACATTCCACTACATGTCTACAAAAAAAGAATAATTTAATTCAATGTGAAGCCTAGAAATTACAATGAAATGCCATCTACATGAGCTTGCACTGTCATCACTCTCAGTAACAACTTCTACAAGTCTACAATAAGCTACTTTGCCAAGTTAACAGCGTTCAAATTTTCCAGATATAACTGACTCACCTATCATCCAAGAAGAAGTTCTTTGAAACTGAGATAAAAGCTCTCCAGTTTTTTCTAATCTCATCCAATCGGAAATATCCCCAAAATACAACTTTTGGCCCTAAAACAGCACTACTATTGGAACTCGAAAAAGTGACATCTTCAACCGGCAATGAATTGTTGCCCCAATAGTGAATTCATAGAAATATTACACGGACTAATTGGCATTTAAATTGGCCAAGTCACTTAGTCAGAAAATGGCTGTGAGTCCATGCACAGATGCACTAGTTTTTTTTGGTACTGCCCGAAATATTCACCAACAGCAATAACATCTTCGTTTTCGGGGTTTAACCTGGGCAAGAGTAATCGTTTATCCTTGATTGATTCTTCATCCAAACCTAACCTGGAGATTATATCAGCAAGGATTTCACGACAAGCAAGTATGAACATGGCAGCCGTGTCTGGTTGCTGTGCCTCACGAAGTGCAGCCAGTGCCTCTTGCAATGCACCAGCTGCAACGTACAAAATGAGAGCCCTACATTGGACCATAGTTAAGTTTCAGAACATAGGATATCAAAGATATCTTGGGATGGAGATGAAAGGAAAGAAGTTAAACCTCCAGATATTATTTTCCATGTGAAGAACATGATCACCCCACCTCTGTAACACCCTGCAAGATCAAAGAATCAGAAATCGGGCTCATTAAACAAGGTGACTAACATTGGGCATGCCATATCTGCAAAACCATTTTTCTAATGAATTTAAAACACGTCAATCCATGCCTTACTATATCAAATTTTGAAAACTTAGACAATGTCAATACTTGTTAGTAGAACAACGGCACAAGCAAAATAAGTATATATCAAGTACTCCAGCTATCCTCTAGGCAGAACCAGTGTAGTACTTAAATGACCAATACCATGATAAATCACTTGTGCTCATAATTCAGTGGAAGCAATTTCTTAATTTTGAAAAGATTAAATCATCGTATTCTTCTCCAACTGGAAAGATGTCCATAGTTTCTTTTTTCTGACAAGTATGTTGGGTGCTGTCCTGACTTTACATAATCAAACTGGAAGACTTCTTCCTATGTGCCTTACACAAGGCTGTTAACAATCAATCCAATCTGAACGATGGATATTTTCACAATTAACTTTTTTTTTTAAAACAAATTTTCACAATGTAATATTTAAAAATACATAAGAAGTTAACAATGATAACATTCCTCGTTCAACCTCATAATCATATCAATCCAAGTTGCACAATTATTTAAGAAATTTCTGACACTTAGGTGTTGTGGAAGGAATAAACAGTCACAATTAAACTGCTGACAGTAAGTAGGATGATGTATGCATGTGTGTAAATCATAGGGAATGAACAACAAAACAAACTTAGAAGAGTGTGACACTATAAGCAGACACATGATCAAAATTGACACTGGCAAGCCTCAATAAGCAGAATATATATTATTTAGTCAGAGATGAATGACAATATCATATTAAAAGCTAAAGAAACAAAACCATTTAGTAAATGTACAAGATACAGATGGAAGTTCATGAAGAGATTCTATTGTTGGAAAAAGCAATAAACCTTGCATAATCAGATCCCTTCAAATGTGTTGCAGCTAATGTTGCAGCATCTGTCCAGCATCCAGCATCTTGCAGCTGAAAAGGGGTCAGGTCAGATAGAAGTTATACCCAGCAAGAAATCAATATACTGGTCTGTTCACCAGATTTTCACATTTAACTTTTGGACAAGTTAGTTTCATGTTTAACATACAATTTCTTACCGTTCCTCATGAAAAATCATAGGTAGTGTTTGGTAGAATTTTAAAATTATGATTTGAGAATATAATTGTATTTTGAGTTTGTGAGTTTTAGAATTATGATTTGTAAAGACAAAATTTGTTTGGTTATGAGTTTTGAAAAGTGTTTTGAATTTTTGATGTGACATGAAATGAGAAGTTTTTTTATTATGAGTTTTGAAAAGAGTTTTCAAAACTTAATTCAAAAACTTATAACTCATAACCAAACACACAACTCAAAACTCTATTGAAAATTCTATTCAAAAACTCATAATCTAACTCTATAAAATTCAATTCAAAAAAATAATTTGTCATTTTGGTCTAAAAAAATAATTTGTATATTTAAAAAATATCGAAAACAAATATAATTTTTTTTTTCCCCAAATAACAAGTGGCGATTGGCAATTGCAAAACATATATATATATATATATATATTGTACTGATGTCCGAGCGGACGACTGGATAGACCAAAAATTCAAAAATTGTCTGATTTACCAAACATGTTTTCAAAATGTGTTTTGAAATTGATTTGGAAACAAAATTTGAAAACTCAAACCAAACATAGCATTCAAATATAAGGGTGGAAACTTGATTTGAAACTCACACCAAACACAGCCACATACTCTGTTAAATACCCTATGACTCAATCTAAAGTGCATTCCAGTCAAAGGAAGCTTCTCCAAACTGCATCTACCACATTGCATAATGCTCTCATTCTGCTGCATAAATATATGTTTCTGCATCACCATGTAGCAACATTACCATGATCCTGTCAAGGACCCATTTGGACTTAAGTGTTACTTATTACTGTAGATTGGATATATTTCTCCACACCCTGGGGTGGGAAGAGTTGTTTCCCGACATTTGGCAAGAGGCATTGCCAAGGGTTGTTTCGGATCATTGCCCAATGATTTTTGAGTGTTGTCCCTTTAAATGGGGTCCATCCCCCTTTAGGTTCAAGAATGCGTGGTTGGAGTATCATTCTTTTAGGGCTTATTTTAAGGACTGGTGGGAGAGTAGTAGAGTCCATGGGTGGGAGGGTTTCAAGTTTATGCAACAGCTGAGAGTAGGGATGGCAATTTGAAACCGGCCCGACGGGGATCCCCGATCCCGACCCCGATTTAAGCGGTTTTTCCCCGAAAAATACCCCCGACGGGGAGGTGACGGTATTTGAAAATCAATCCCCGATCTGTCACGGGCCGGGGACGTAGAGTCCATGGGTGGGAGGGTTTCAAGTTTATGCGACAGCTGAGAGGGGTCAAAGAGAATTTGAAGGTATGGAAGCATGAAGTTTTTGGTGATTTGAATGAGTTAAAGGTGGAGCTAGTTAGTTAGGGGTATTGAGGAATTTGATGCAAAGGAGGTTGGGGAGGGCTCAGTGTTGTGAAAAGCACGCCTAGGCGCCAAGCGTAGCGAGGCGCAGCCGGCGCGACTTAAGGAGGCCAAGGTGAGGCGCAGTAGAACAGTCGCGCGCCTTGAACGCGACTGGAAGAGACGCAGCAAGGCGCAAGGCTCGTGCCTAGGCGGGCTTTTATTTTCTTCCTTATTCAGATCTAACGGCTCAAAATTGTGTTCCAAAAGGCTCCTACACATACGATTGCAACTCATATACAACCCAAATCAGAATACGACTCGAATCAAATTCCTAATCTGTGTCGACTTTGACTGTAATCTTCTTCTGGACTCCTTCGACTGGGCTCCTGTCTCGAACCAGGTACTCTTCTTCTTCTTCTTCTTCTTCTTCTTCTTCTTCGCTATTCGAACCTCCTTCGACTAGGCTCCTCTCTCTCTCTCGTTCTGTTTTCTGCATCGTCTCTCTCGTTGGTTCTTTCTCTATTTTTGTATCAGTCCACTCTGACTGTAATGCATATATATATATATATATCTGTTTCTGTATACAAACAGATATCTCTGTGTTTGTACTTATCTATATAGATTCTGGACTTTCAAAGGTAATATTAATATATTATTATTAATATTATAACTTAGTTTCTTGTTCTTTAATTTATTATTATTATTATTATTATTATTATTTTGATGGACTATAATTTTTTATTATTATTGTTAATATTCTATTCTTCTTATTTTCTTGTACTCTTTTTATGCTATATTTAATTAATTTTGTATTTTATAAAAATAAAAATATTCAAAACTCAAAAGGGTTACGCCTCAACACCTTGCCTTGCGTTTTCGCGTTTAAAAACACTTATTAGTATTTGTTGTAAAACATTCCTAGTTGAGAGGGGTCAAAGAGAATTTGAAGGTATGGAAGCATGAAGTTTTTGGTGATTTGAATGAGTTAAAGGTGGAGCTAGTTAGTTAGGGGCATTGAGGAATTTGATGCAAAGGAGGTTGGGGAGGGCTCAGTGTTGTGAAAAGCACGCCTAGGCGCCAAGCGCAGCGAGGCACAGTCGGCACGACTTATGGAGGCCAAGGTGAGGCGCAGTAGAACAGTCGCGCGCCTTGAACGCGACTGGAAGAGACGCAGCAAGGCGCAAGGTTTGCGCCTAGGCGGGCTTTTATTTTTCTTCCTTATTCAGATCTAACGGCTCAAAATTGTGTTCCAAAAGGCTCCTACACATACGATTGCAACTCATATGCAACCCAAATCAGAATACGACTCGAATCAAATCCCTAATCTGTGTCGACTTCGACTGTAATCTTCTTCTAGACTCCTTCGACTGGGCTCCTGTCTCGAACCAGGTACTCTTCTTCTTCTTCTTCTTCTTCGCTGTTCGAACCTCCTTCGACTAGGCTCCTCTCTCTCCCTCGTTCTGTTTTCTGCATCGTCTCTCTCGTTGGTTCTTTCTCTATTTTTGTATCAGTCCACTCTGACTGTAATGCATATATATATATATATATCTGTTTCTGTATACAAACAGATATCTCTGTGTTTGTACTTATCTATATAGATTTTGGAATTTCAAAGGTAATATTTAATATTATTATTAATATTATAACTTAGTTTCTTGTTCTTTAATTTATTATTATTATTATTATTATTATTATTTTGATGGACTATAATTTTTTATTATTATTGTTAATATTCTATTCTTCTTATTTTCTTGTACTCTTTTTATGCTATATTTAATTAATTTTGTATTTTATAAAAATAAAAATATTCAAAACTCAAAAGGGTTACGCCTCAACACCTCGCCTTGCATTTTCGCGTTTAAAAACACTTATTAGTATTTGTTGTAAAAAAATTTTTGTGTGTGTGTGCGCGTGTGTGTGTGTGTTAAATGTGGATTATTTGACTTTTGAAAATTGAAATGCTATGTAATATGCATTTTTATGGCTTTGAGAATTATTCTACAATTTACCTCAATTATTTATTTATTTATTTTTAAATTGTCTTAGTACAAACATGCTATGAATCATTAGTCTATATTAATTTATCTATTTTTTACTAAGACTGTGTGCCTTACTTCAATAAAGCCCGTGCCCCGCCTTGCGCCTTACGCCTAGGCCCGAAGAGACCTTCAGCACCTCGGTGCGCCTTGAGCCTTTAAAAACACTGGAAGGGCTTATCTAGGGTTTTGAGGGATGAAAGATCCATGCTTAGAATGAAGTTGGAAGAACTAATTTTTAAGGAACATATTTTTGGAGGACAAAGGCCAAAGTTGAAATGGGCAAAAAAGGGCGATACTAATTCCCGATTTTTTCATAGAGTTGCAACAAGGAAGAGGAAAAAGAACTATATCAAGAGTTTGGAGGTTGGGCAAGGGTTGGTGGTGAATAAGGAAGAGCAGACTGTTAATGAAATATTCGACTTTTATTTGAACCTCTATTCTGACGGGGGAGTAGATCGACCGGGGATTGAAGGCTGATGGGCTCTTGTGGATGTCTTTAAAGTTAGATGGCTCAAGAGACCTTTTGATGAGTGTAAGGTGCATCAGGTTATGTTTGAATGTGAAAGAGATAAGGCTCCAGGCCCGGATGGTTTTCGAATGGCAATGTTTCAAGACTGTTGGGACATTGTGAAAAGGAATTTAATGAAAGTGTTTGGTGAATATTTCGAAGTGGGGAGATTAACTTATGCACCAATGCATCTTTCATATGCCTCATTCCTAAGAAAGAGAAGTTGGTTAAGACTCTGGATTTTAGGCCCATTAGCTCAGTATCATCTATTTCTGCACTGTCCTGTGGTTCTTGAATTATTGCAGATCAATGGATTGCTCCAAGGGACTGCACACATACGCTTCTTGTGAAGTTTAAAGGGTTTGGCGACAATAAGAGAGCCAAAACATTGTGGTCTTGTATTGTTTTTGCTATCTTCTGGACTATTTGGCTGGAGAAAAATTCAAGGATCTTTGACAGAAAGGAATCAGCTACAGATTCTTTATAGGATGGGGCTGGTTTTTTGGCTTCGTTTTGGGCTTTTGTGTCCCCTCTTTTCAAGGAGTTCCACTTTTCTTAATTTCTAGGGATTGGGCTGCAAGTTCCAAACCTCAGTGATAGGTTTTTTCTTGTAATTTTAATTTTTGATGTTTGCTTTTTGTTTAGACCCCTTTCACTGTATGAGGAGTCCGTGTCCGATATCTTTTCTCTTGCTTTTGCTTAATAAATTTCGTTGTTGCTGTTAAAAAAAATAATTAAATATATATATATATATGTGTGTGTGTGTGTGTGTGTGTATCATAATTATCAACTATCAAGATATATCTTAACAAGATATTTTTCTATAATTGATTGTAAACACTCACACTTTGTTTGGGTGGGGTGATTTTGTGAGAAATGATAAGAAAGCAAACTCTCATGTTTGGTTTATAAATTAGGAAAGAAATGGTGAGAATTGATGAGAAAGAGCACTCTCCTATTTTGCCTATTTCATTTCTCACCAAAAGTGGTGAGATTTGGTGAGAAACAAGCCCGTTGGTTATAAAACTGGTAATTCTATTTACACGACAATTCTACCTCATTACACTATTTTTCTAATTACACCCTCAAAATTTCAAAAATCTTTTTTCATCTCTTTACACACTGCTTGATTCCACCTATACCTCCATCCCTAACGTCCTCTCTTCTCCTTTCACCCAAAATCTTTCAAACCCTAACTCCTCCATCTCCAACTACTACAACCACCACCACCTTGCAACCCCACTGCCATGGCCACTATGGGCTAAGTCCCTGTGGGCCACGGCCGGTCATGCCCGGATTTGGGGTGTGACAACTACAACCACCACCACCTTGCAACCCCACTGCCATGGCCACTATCTTGCAACCCCCCACCGCCGCAATCATCACCCCGTAGCGTACCCTGCCACTACGACTACCACCTCTGCAGTCTCCTGCAGACCTTATTTCTTTTCAGCGTTTGTGTTTTGTTCGGCAAACCAAGGCCGAACAAACTTTTTTGTTAAGCAAGATACAACCAAACAACCTTAAAATTGTTCAGCTATAGAAGTTCGAACAAACTTAAATTGTTTGGCTACTGAAAGCCAGACAATCTCAATTTGTTTGGTGAACCAGAGGCGAAAGGAGTTTGAAACCCACTTTTTTCAAATGACACAAGACTACACCAAAATGATTGAAAATCATACCCAAATATCTTTTAAACACAAAAATCTTGTATATTATTTATTTATTTATAATGATTATATATAAAATTTATTTATTTTTATTTGTTGTTTGTTGTTTATATATATAGAGAGTTAATTACATTAAGATCCCCTTAATTATTAACGAATATCACTTTATCTCCTCATCTATGAATCCATACATATTGACCCTTTCAACTATGAAAATTGTAAAAATACACCTTTTTATAGGTGGTTTCAAAGGGGTGAAAGTGATAAATGTTTATAGTTGAAAGGGTCAAAATGTACGGGTTCATAGATGAGGGGGGTAAAGTGATATTCGCTAATAGTTGAGGGAGTCTTGATATAATAAACCCTATATATATATATATATGTTCTTTAATGTAGATATATTTGGATTTGTATGTTGATGGAGAGTGACAGATGGAAGTGGAGAGAAGGGATGGTGGCTAGGTGGTGATGGTTGGTGGATTTTTTCTTTTCTCATAAATTGCCTCTGCACAAAATAAGAACTGGTCTCTCTCCAATGCATAAATGGTTGGGAGTTCACATCCCCCACAATCGAAACGAAGTGTCATTGATTTAATAGCAAAGTAGCAACGTCAACATCTAAAAATCCAAAAGGATGGCATTGGTTATAAATAATTTCTTGTTATTTTCCATTTCTACTGGCATTAAAAACAAATTTATACAGATGGAAGTGGAGAGAAGGGATGGTGGCTAGGTGGCGATGGTTGGTGGATTTTTTCTTTTCTCATAAATTGCCTCTGCACAAAATAAGAACTGGTCTCTCTCAAACGCATAAATGGTTGGGAGTTCACATCCCCCACAATCGAAACGAAGTGTCATTGATTTAATAGCAAAGTAGCAACGTCAACATCTAAAAATCCAAAAGGATGGCATTGGTTATAAATAATTTCTTGTTATTTTCCATTTCTACTGGCATTAAAAACAAATTTATGTTCAGTGTGTGCATCATGTTGATGCTATTGCTGCCCCCAAGAAGTCAATAGGAAGAATTGACATCCCTGGTACCTTTGTTAGCCCTTTTGGGTGAGTTACTGTGATTGCTACCTACGGCACCAAAGCCAATCCATATACACAACCGTGTGGGCTCGATAAAGGTGGGAGTTCGTAGCATTTCTGTCAGACATTAGAAGTTTACCCAAGTGATATTGGGAATATAAGTAGGAATAATGAACCCAAATGACATCTCCTTGGCTAGCCTTTTTGGGTGAGGGTACTTGTAACAACCCTGTCTAGCAGTAGATGTTTGCGTGAGTGATATTGGGAATACAAGTAGGAACAATGAACCCAAATCACATCTCATTGGCCAGTCCTTTTGGGTGAATTCTCCTGATTGTTACTTAATAACACCCACACATAGGTGAAGAGATTTGAACACAAGATATATCATTTACTCTAATATCATGTTAAATTCTTAATTACTATCTCAACTAAAAGCTTAAATGTTAGAGAGGAGAGCAACTATAGGGTGCCTCTAAATCCCAAATTTTTGGTTGGCACCCAATCTCTTTGAATATTTACAAATTTGAATCCTCTAAATCCCAAATTTTTGGTTGGCACCCAATCTCTTTGAATATTTACAAATTTGAATCTTCACTGTGTTTGGTTCCGGTTTTCTGAGTTAGTTTTCAGAATTTTGTGTTGAAAAGTGTTTTTGAAGAACTGACCATTGTTTGGTTCCACTTTTTGAATTTTGCAAGTTAAATTCAAAATCCCTCCACATTAGATATTCAGCATAAATTTCAAAATATCTGCACATTCAATTTCAGTCAACATAAAGAACCATTCAGCAATTATAAAAAAAATAAAAAGAAAATAATAAATAAATAAAAGAAAAGAAGAAAGAGAACAAATCACATAAAAAAAAAATTAAAAAAAAAAAAAAGAAGATAGAGGATAAGCAGGAGTCAAACTGTGGTTTCTTGTGGGTCTCGCTCTATTTACAAACTGCTTAAAAAAAAAAAAAAAAAAAAACAGAGAAACATCAAATCACCTGACGGAGACAGAAAGAAAAGAGAAAATTCAAGTGTATCTGAAAAATTGGATTTTGAAAACATTTTTTTTTTTTTTTTGACTTAACCAAACAAAAAGTCTAAAATTTCCTAAAAAATGAGCTCAGAAAACTGGAACCAAACACACTGATTGTTCAATTAAGTCCAATGTTACTCCCACCTATCACCAAACCTTATCTCTATCTCCACCACCACCCACCACCTCCAACTTCTTCAACTAACCCATCCTCTAGCTCAGTTGGAACAAACAATCGAAATCACACTAGGATCTTAAAATGACTACGATCCTAGTCAAAATCATGTAAAATCACACTATGATCCCGATTATACTATGATCCTGATCCTACCAATTATCTTCTTATTATTTATTTCTATATATATGTATGTATAAGTGTATATCTATATATAAAATTCACTACAAACTTCTTTTTCAAATGTCTCTTCTAATTTATGTTAACATAAAAGATGTATTATATTAAATTTGTCACTTTTCTTTAATGATTTCAAAATTATATAACATGCATTATCATTATAGATAATTTTTCATTTTATTTTGCATTGAAAGTAGAATATTATGATCCTTGATATAACCCGATCCACGAGTCCCTCCCAACGATTCCACCTAGGATCTTGATTTTAACAACCTTGCCTCCAGCCCCCTCCCCATTGCAAATCCCCTCCCCCATCGTAAACTGCCTCCCCAATATGCTTCTCCCGCCACAAACCACCTCCCCCACCTAAATCCTTGCGAGAGGAAGAGAAAATAAATCTAAGGTTTAAGGAAAGAGAAGAAGTGGGGCTGGGTCGTGGTCATGGCACTAGGAGATGGCAGCTGTGGAGGGTGACAAGGAGATGGGTTGTAGTGTTGGAGGTGAGGAGGGGGTGGGAGCTGACGGGAGCTAGGGAGGGGCTTGGAAGTGGCGGGGCAGCTGGGATAGCTGCCGAAGACGGCAGCACGGCAGCCAATGGCGTCACTACACATGTCACCAATGCTCCAGATGATGAATAACACAACAAACCAAGGAAGAAGTCCTTAGCATGCTCTAAAATGTTCTGCAAAGTTTATGTTGTTAAGTAAACCTATTGACCTATACAATGTACACATGTTCAACGCACAAGCCACAATCAAGGTGCAAAAGGCAACCTCCAAGGCAACAAAAAGATTTGTCCATTTTACAAGAGAGCCAAACAAAATGGTTGATGTACCATTAACAATAAGTATCTTAACAAGTAAAACTTACTAACATCTGAAGTTGATCATAGAAAGGCAAGTAACAGAAAATCTGCTTTCAAGAAATAGGGCCTAACCTGAGAACAAGCTTCTTGATACCTCCCAACAGCACAGAGAAGATGTGTGCCTGACAATGACCTGTCTGTCCTAACCATATTGGCTGCAACAACCTAAACGATCATAAGTAGTAGCCATAAGAAAAAACTCTTAACCATGAATTATGTTTTATAATTTTTTTAGTACAATTTATTTACAGTTGAAACAAACATCAAATGAACATTTACCTTAACTGCCAGTTCAAGCAGAGACCTTGACACAGCAGATGAAAGAGCCACCGCACGCAAAGCATTTGCATAGAAGTAAGTGCTCTCTGGATGTGTGGAAAGCAGTAAACTAACAGCAGCTTCTAGGTTCCCGACTGACACAAGCCTGGTCATCAAGGAGATAAAGCATATAACAAGGCACAAACAATGCTTAATTCCGTATTATATAAAAATGGCATTTTGAAATGACTGACACGGGTTGTTGCCCAAGTGATCTTGAGAGGGCACATAGGTGCCTGCGTGACGTATCTGGTTCGAGTCTATAGAGGCATCAACCTTTGTAGTAAATAGTAATCTAACTACCACTTGCTAACATCCTACCTTGTGTGAGCTTCAAATAAATAAATGAATAAACCTTGATTATCATCAACTTGTATGTATACAAGAACAAGTGGGAAGTTTTTGGGGGGGGGGAACCTAATTTTCCTTTTTCTTCCCATTTCATTCTCCCTTTTTTCTCATGGGTGCTTATCTTTAGATGTATTAATGCGTCACCAATCCCGAAGGCCACATCTAGTGGGATTAGGCCAATCAATTCCTTTATTGCATAGCCCCAAGGTTTCAGTCAATTGGAGTGAGACACACTTTGGGGCGGGACTAGGATGCTCCACATCACACAGCCACAATGGAAAAGTTACAAATCAGAGATCTCTGCTTTGATACAATTTGATATACGAGGAATCAACCCTTTAGGTTCCAATCAATCAGGGTAAGACCCACTTCAACGCGGGGTGATGCTCCACACCTAGGATGTTCTTGCATTACCCTCTTTAATAAATGTATTTCCTGGATTTCTTGGCACTTTTTTAACTGTTGTACTACAGCACTAATGGGTAATTGCCTGATCATTGAAGTTGGAGTCAGATATTTATTTCCAGCATTAAAACTCCCCATTTGTTCATTGTCACCGGTCATGTTGATGGCATCTAAGAAGTATAACACGCACATAGACACGACATTGAACACACTGGCACGTTTTAAAAAATGCAAGACACGGCACCCTTGAGATACGTTAACATTTCATATATTCACAAATTTATTATACATCATATATGTGAATATTTTATTGAAAGATAATGAAAAATATATAAGATAACACTAATTAAATTTAAAAAACTATATATTTCATAACTTAAATATTAAGATATCATTCATGTAATAATTATTATAAAGAATGCAAAACGATCATATAACATTTGTAATACGATATCATGCATTCATCTTCTAAATGTTTGAAAACATATTTAGAGTGCATAAGTTGTGTTCTGAAAAATACATTGCAATTTTCAAAAATAGTTTGCAAGTTTTCAATACATATTTTTTAGTTTTTAGTAACTTTTTAAATATTTTAATCAAAAAAATTTACTTTTTAGATCCACTTAATCTAAATACACTTAAAAATATAAAATTTGTGAAAAAATCTTTAAAACTTTCAATAAATACAAAAAATATATTCAGTACGTTTTTGTATTTTTTTTTTGTACTTACTGAGTTATTTTTAAAATTCTTCACAAATATTTTACTTTTTAAGTACATTTAGATTAGCTACATCTAAAAACAATTGAATAAAATTTGAAAAAAAAAAAAATTCATTGAAAACAAAAAAAAACACAATAAAAAATTCAAAACCTTACTATTTGTTGAAAAACTCAAAACCAAATAGAGTTACTAAGGAATTCATCACATAAGACGTGTTTGGGGAGGTTAAAGAAGTGTCACCAAAGTGTCCATGAAAGTATTTGATATTATAAATTTGATTTTTTAATTAAGACCCGAAAGTGTCGGATACACTTTTACGAGTGTCTGAAGATTGTCGGTGTCAGACACAACACACTTGCTTCGTAGAAGTGTTCGTGCTTCTTAGCATGGCATCAACAACAAAATGAAATCTACCATCCTCCACTTGCTAAGGTCTTGCCATAATTTTTGAAACCCTAATTGTAATGCACCCTAAGTGGATCTTAGATTTAACCTCATGACATTCCAAGCACTGCTAGTATCAGCTACGATCCAGTTTGTTTCCAATAGCCATCAATATTACTACAAATTGAGCTCCCATTCATGTCCCTTGATTATTTTCTACAACAAAATTGACAATAACCGAGGAGAAATTTTCCATATTCAATCCCTGAGAGATTACTACTAGTCTACTTCAATCCAGCCTTACCTTTATCATATTTTCATTTATTTTTCTTTTTCTTTTTTAATTAGGGCGCAAATTGTTGGATGTGTGATAAGAGTAGGAAAGATAGAATTAGAAATTAAAATATTAGTAAAATGGTAGGAGTACCACCAATTAAAGCTGAGAGAGAACAAGCTAAGGATGTTTTGATTATATACAATGAAGACCTATAGATGCAACGTTAGGAAGAGTGACATGATCACCATAAATGAAAATATTATGAAGAGAAGCCTAAATTGACATGGGATGCAATAGTTAAAAAATATATGAATTTGTTTAATTCGATGAAGCATGTTCACAAAGCACAACGATGAAAAATAATTCATGTAGTTGACCCCACTTGAGTGGAACACAATAGTTTAGTTTGGTTTGGTTTGGTTTAGGGAGTAAACTGTTGGCGAGATGGTCAAAGCTCACATTGTCATGAAGCCAATTTTAAGGGGAAAAGAAAAGCTTATATTTAGGTCTGCACCCAATCTACTCACCAAGCAACCCACAACAAGAAAGAAACAAGTAACCATTATAAGGACATCAACTGTTTCTCTTCAAATTTGTTTTTTTAATAATAGATCATGTTGGGTAGTGTCAATCCTAACAAGTACTAAACACTAAACACTCAACCTGAATTTTGGAGCAACGGTATTTTGGTAATGCACTCATGGCATGTAGTCCTAATTCTACATATATGTAACTCCTTCAGATCATAGTGAAACAGCAGTGACTGTGGACATAGTCCTAGTTTTGGAGTGACCCACATAAATTTTGTATTCTCGTGTGTGTGATTTACAATTCTTGTTTATTGTTCTTCTCTGTTTTCGTGTCTCACTAATCTTAGTTAAGTGTTACGCAATTCCTAAAAATCAATCATATTGCAGAAGTTTAACCAGACATGACCTATTTTTTCATAAAATCTTAACCACAAAATTTTCATTTGAGATGTAATGAATTCTAAGTATTTCTTTTTTTTTTTTTTTTTTCAGATGCTTCGGAAAGAAAATTCTAGTATTTAACTCACTGTTCAAATGTTCAACACCGTATCATAACATCACGAAATGGCTCATAAAAGAAAGCTACAAGTCATGATTTTTATGCAACCAAATGATCTAGTTATTCAGAATACTGCTTAGATAAAGTCAAAAACATTTTACACATGCTGAATTGCTATCAGACCTCCATCTACTGGCTAACATGTTCAGAGTTGAGATATAAAATGAAAAAGAATACTGACTCATGTACACGGTTCTGAATAGCTTCTTCATTGTCCAACTTCTCATGCCAAGTAATACGCTCATTTGCACTTCCCCACAACTCTCCTTGCTCAAAAGCCATCAACTTAAGTAGACCATTACTCTGCTAACCAGACATCCCAGTTCAGAATAGAGAATTAAGACATAGCCCAAGCATAATAAATATTTCTTAGAAGAGTGTTGACACATAGAAGACATCCTCATGCTTCAGAACATAGAAGGTAGAAGCTAATCCAAGATGTTCCCAATTATATGCCTTAGAAACTGGAAAATAAGAATAAACTATACACATTTGGCAAACTATTACTTACCAATACATCTGTTTTCCCTGTTTCGGGTGTTTGTTTACCCTTCGATGTTATCCTACTCAACATGGCTGTGTCATCGAGCTCGGGAATTGATTCTGGAACTGGGGCTTTTTGTGGAGCCTTCTTAACCAACTTATTCATCAAATGGTCAAGGGCATAAGGTAACTGTAACCAGAATAGTGCTTCTATGGATTCACCAAAGGTTGCAGCTGCAAAAGCAAACCTCGCAGCACAACCTTTATTTACTATAGAAGCATATAATCTTGCCCTCTCGTCATCAAGTATGCATCCTTGAGTGTGAGAATGGGGAAAATGTTAGAAAACACAATTAATCAAATGCTAAAGGGACATGCTTGAAAGGAAGTACTGCCATGTAGAAGACCAAATACCCACCTTCTTTTCTGTAAGGTTCCAATACCTTAAGAAGCAACTCTGGCACTACAGAGTCACCTACAGGTGGTGAATCGATCATATAACTACGAAGATCTCCTGTTGATGATGCAGTTCCGGGCCTCATATCTATGATGGTACTGCATGTATTGAACCATGCAGGCTTCACACCCAGTTGCAAGATCATGCGCAAGGCCTGTAGCAGATAAACAAGAAAACTTCAGTGGGTAACTACCAATGGATATACATAGGTGATGTTTAATAACCTTATTCAGCACTTAAAACTGAATATATTAAGTAAAAATCAATTAAGCCCGTGTGATAACTACAAATGGTATCACTTAAAAATTCAAGTGACTCTTAAAATGTAAGTTAAAAATTAAGAAAATTTTAAATGCTGGGAAACTTAATTATGACTAAATTTATAAATACTTGTATATAAGCATCAACATACACCGTTACAATCTTACAACCTATGAAGCACAGACTACTCTCCGAGGGCTACGTATCAGTGTCGGACACGGACTCAGACACGCGGTGGACACGTGTTCGACATGTCGCAAAAGGTGTCCCTTTTTTTCTTTGATTTTTTTTGCAGCAAGACACGTTATGGACATGTTTCGGACACCGTGGGGTCAAAAACAAAATTTATGAAACTTCAAGTGGGGGTTACTTTGTAAAATACAAAAATTGAAGAAATCAAACCAAGCTCTAACCTTGATTTCGAACAGAAAGAGGAGAAGAGGCTAAGAGAAGGCTGCAGGCTACTCTTGCGAAGGTATGTTCTTCTTTCGATCTTCTTCTTCTTTCGATCTTCTTCTTCGACTTCTCTCAGTCGCTCTCTCTCTCTCTCTCTCTCAATCTCTCTGTTTTGTTGTCTTTTCTTTTTTCTTTGTATATGCTGATTCACTGTCTCTTTCTCTTTGTGATATTCTTTTTTATATTATTCTTTTTCCTTTTTCTTTTTTTGACTTTTCTCTCTATCTCTATTATTTATTTATATTCTTTTTTTGGTTGATTAATTTATTTATTTATTTTCTCTGCCTTTAATTTTTTTTTAATAATTTTATGACATAATAAATAAATTTAATTATATATATTGAATGTGTCCCTAGCATGTCGTGTCCTCTATTTTTGAAAAAATTGTGTGTCCGCGTGTCCGTGTCCGTGTCACGTCACGTGTCCGTGCTTCATAGCTTACAACCACCGTTGCCGCCACCACTCCTTCCATCACAACCACCCTTCCACAACCACCACCTTCATCACCATTGTCATTGTTACCATAAACACCGCCATCATTTCACATTTCATTACCACCACAATAGTTGCCATTGCCATTGCCATTACAAGCACCACTACAACTACTAATGTAGAGATCCTAATTTTTGATAATTACACATGAAACCCTGAGCCTTAGTTTAAAAGCATTTTAGCCCCTCGTTTCGTAAAAGTTTGCAAAATGGCCCAATAAAGAATAATGTTCCTGTATATTATCATAATTAAATCCTAGAATACCACTTTATAATTGGAAATATCTTAAAACTTGATTTTTATGTATTTACCTCCTAGTTTATAAAATAATTCATACATTTTATCTTTATTTTTGTTTTAGTTGTTCTTTCATTTATTATTTATTTGAATATTTATTATTTATCATTTATTATTTATTATTTATTTGAATATGTACATAAGTATTATAAATAATATTTTGTGGAAAAATATCTAGATATTTATTTCCTTTTAGTCATTAAGCTAGGACCCAAGCTTATTTCCTATAAATTGAGTGCTCTGTCTCAATTCCTTACACACACATTTCAACAGCCAAGGAGAAGGTGAGAGAAGGAGAGTGTGATTAGAGGGAAGAAGAGAAGAAAAAAAAAAAAAGAAAAAAAAAAAAGGAAGAAAGGGGTGCTTTCTTGAGTCAAGGTAAGAACACATCTCTCTCTTGTCTTTTCCAATTCTTTCACCCATCTCATCCTATTGCCTAGTATGCCCTCTTATGTTGCAAATTAATGGCAAATAGGGTTTTTGGTGTGTTTAGAGCTTGTGATAATTTTATTAGCCCTTCATTGTGTGTTTTTAGGGCTTGGATATGTTGTTTGAAAAATCTGGTCCTAAGTCTCTAAAAAATAGTTCACTTCTTGCAATTTTATAAAATTTCAGAAAAATCATCTCATGTTGGTTCTTCTGTCAAAATTTAGAATTCTGAGTCCTCTTTTCAACGGAATTTATTTGGGTGAAAATCATCGGGTAGATTGAGAGGAAAATTAGTTTTCCCAAAGGGTGACAAATCTGGACAGGTTTTCAAATATAGCTTGTAGATGAATTTCTGGAGGTGCTGTGCAAATTTTGAGAATTGGAACTGAAACTAGACAGGTTGATTATGGTTTCTGTGCAATTTCAGCCTCTAATTTGACCTAGAAGTATTTTTACCAAAGCATTCTTCTTAGCCTTCCAGAACTAAACAGTGCTAGAAATGGTGTTCTATTGTGTTAATTGTCTCCAAGTATTTCAAAGCATGCCTAATGTTGTTTGCTTGCCTTACCTTACTTATGTATGATTATCATGACTATATTTCCTCTCTTATGTTTGTCTCATGCTCTTTTATATTACCGAATTACCGGATGTGACTGACTCGCTTATCAAAATATCTAATAAACGGGAAATGAAAAGGGGTTGATAATGGGTGACATTCACACTAGTGTTTCAGAATATTTATACATATAAATGACATGAATTATGATGGAATTAATATCAAATGAGTTAAGTCTTGTGCAAGCGGTCTAAGTGAACCTCTAGGATGACACGGATGTATACAGACTCTACGCGGTGTTACAGGGTGTAATCGAACCCTTTGGTTTGGTATGTGCAAGGTGTAAGCGAACCCTAGGCATGATTTGGGTATAAGCGAGCCCACTTGTTTGACCGTCCCTTTTGAGATCCATCAATGTCGCTGACTGGTAAATAACCAGTAGGTGGGCATAGGTGGTAAGGTCTGCAAAGCAGCAAAATGGGGAGTTCTGAGTAGTCCGGTGTTCAACCTTATGATTGGGTAGAAGGATTTCTTTGGAAGATTCTAAATGTCTAGTCTAACTACTAATTCATAAAACCTTATTGTAAGATTGTATGTTATGTTACCCGATTTGTTTTGTGTATGGTTGATTGGTTGATAGAAGATATGGGGGTGTGTGTGTTTTTACTGGGCATTCCAAGCTTATAGCATGTCATGCCAGGTGAGGAAGCAATTTACAATGGTAAAGGTTATCCCGAAGGCAGTCAAGATGAAGTGTTGGAGCCGTGGTTCACTTGAAGATTTAGACTAGTAGTTTATTTTTTTTGACAGTGTTTTGTAATTTTATAGCGGAACACTAATCAATTATCTATGCTATAACTCTGCTTATATGTGTATATTAAAATATTTTGGTTATCTATCTTGTGTGAGGTGTATTTTGTACATCCCTTTTATGGTCTCGAATTTTGGGGCGTGACAACTAAAACCCTTTACCTCCACAATTATTGCCATAACCACCACCATCATTACACCATGTCGCTGTCTTCTTTTTAACCATCGCCACAACCACTCTCTCTCTATCCCCACCACCATTGTCAATGACACTATAGGCACCATTGTTGCCTCCACTACCACCAACTCACTATCACATATAAAACTGAAAATTAGAATTTAAAAATAATAAATTGTAAATTTAATATTATACATATATACAACTTGTCTTAGTTTAGTACTTAAATTTTTATCAACCAGTTTTTCAACTTAAAAAATTCAGAATTCAATTGTCAATACTTAATTTTCAGTTTTATCAAACACCACCATAGTCACTCTCTAAATTTTGGGAGTACAATGCTGGGCGCAGATTGTGCTTGCACAATATGTTAAGAACTGTGTTTTCCTCATGCACACATTTAACATGAAAGAAAACATTATCAAAAGACTAAAAACTAGGAGGATAATAAAACATTTCCAACATTTTCAAAGAGGACGGGGGTGGAGACAGGCTGGACGGCTTATTCAGCTCCCAATTAGTGTTGTATTTTGGGGGATTTGGTCAAAGCCCTCTCATAATAAAACTTTAATGCATTAAGGACAAGCACAAAAAGTTTTCCTTAAAAAGTCCAACACATACCATTATTATCAAAATATTAAACTTCAAAATAATATAACTTTCGATATAGATGTCGGTTTTTAATAAAATTAGCATTTTTAAAATTCTTTCGGCCAGATCTTTCAAATAAGATCCATGTTGACTATGAAATTTTTTATTAAAAAAAAAAAAAAAAAATTATAACTGATGTAAACAATAACAGTATCATGTTACTTTGTTTGACAATAACACGTTACTCTGTTTGATAGTTACTCTAGCAATATTGTCCAAGGAAAAAAAATAAAATAAAACAAAAAAAAGATATTTTACTTTGTCCTTACTCAATTATGCGTTTTTCCTTAGGGGATTTATGAAGAAAAATAAATTGGGATGTCTTTTTCACCAAACAAGGGTCCAATGGAAGGATTTTGGCCAAATTTTCCTCGTATTTTTCGTAAAACACAGATTTTTGCATTTATTATCTTCTTGTTTTCAGCCTCCACTAAATTTGGTAATTGACCATATAGAATGAGCAATCAAGAGAGAGAGAGAGCATGTTCAATATTGGCGACCCCCTTCACAAATAATGCATCGTATTAACAACAATTAAATACTTTTGCATGCTGCTAAGGAGAAAAAGTAAAGGCAAATAAACGTTACCAAAGCATGCGATGTAGGAAGTAATATGGGAGAACACAAAGGCATTGGTCGGAATCTCTCTTTCATGGATCTAGGCCGGGGTTCATACCCAACCCTTTTGTCATTTCTGCATGAAAAGAACAGAAAATTTTAACCAGAATTTATAGCAATTATTAAAACAGGTAAATGAGCCAAATAATTTAATTTTATAATAACATGAGAAAACAGGAAAGTTTGATTACTAGATCATAGATTACAAGATTACTAGGAGAATCTTGCATCTAGAAGTGTTACTCTGGCTAGTACCAAACCATTCTCCTATGAGTAAGCATATCAGTTGGCACTCATTTTACCAGTTTCCGATATTCAGACAGCCAAGCACATGATGTTCTCAAGGTTAGCCAACTCAACAAAGCCCTTTCCCTCCTATGGTCAACCACAATCTTGTTTCATGCTTCACACTGTGTAGGGTTACAATTCAGATAAACTACAGTCTAGTTAGTTCAACCAGAGGTACAATAATTATATGCCGCCATCACTGAATCCACTGATTCATCCACCAGCTAAACTCAAGAAATCCTCCAAAGAAAAACAAAGGAAAACAAACAACAAAATTACATGTTAACACAACCCTCCAATAGGCTACAATCAGTTTTCATTGCTCACTATGCAGTGCTATAATTTCAGATAAACCAGTCTATTTAGTTCAACCAAAGGTCAGCCAGGTGCTTATAATTACTATTATTATATTCCACCATCGCTGAATCTACTAATCAATCCACTAGATAAACTCAAGAAATCCTTCCCAAAAAAATAAAAAATATAAATATAAAATAAAAATAAAAATAAAAAATAAAAAAAAAAGGAGACGAAAGAAAGAAAATAACAAAATTACATGTGAAACACAGCCCTCCAATTATAACTAATAAGAAACAAAGTTTAAAGGGTGCTGAAACCGACACTCAAAAAGATGTCAAACAACAGATCTTATTCTATAAACCACCAATAGCGTTTTATTTGTCTTCAAAAACTCTTGCATTTCTCTCAAACCATAAAACCCGCGATACAACTCAAATTGAGCATCAAAAAAGGCTAACTTTTAACAAATAATAATAATAATAATAAGAGGGATCAAATTTTGATTAGTCTGAAACCACAGTAGCTATATATCGAAATTTAATGTAGTGAAGTTGAAACAACCTTTTTAATCATACTGGTTCAGATTATAAGTATTTTCATGGCCCTTCCTAAAGTAGAGATTAATTTAATAAGATCATCACAATGATTGATAGGCTACAGAGTCTCAACCATTGTCTATATAAATAGACGTCACAGACTTACTTTGCAACCTACAGGCGGCAGCGTAAGTTACACTTTAGATTAATTTTCATGAGTTAGAAACATTATCTTCTAAGAAGGATAGGGAGTGTAAGAGGCTTTAACGCATGGTTAATTGCAATGGACAGAATGGGAGCAAAGCTTTAGCGGAGCAGTTCGTTGAGGGCACTGATGTCGGCAATTCATGTAAGAATATTAGTGCGGAATTTTCTTCCAAAGGGCTTGAACAGTCAGATCCAGGAAAAAGAATATTGTCAAAAAAGCTTGTTTTTGTTAGTGCTTTGTTTTTATGAAGGTTTTAGGAAGTAAATCAGAAAAGAACACCCAATACTAAATCTGTCATTATTATTGGTAAAGCGGGTGGAGAAAAATGTTAGAATAGGAATATTTTATTCTTATTTGGTTGATTGATGTAATGTAATGGCCCATAATTTATGCCTCCTGGCAGTCCTATAATTACTCTTTAGTATCAATATAAAAGGGGATGAGGTCTAACTTATTCCCTAACTCTTTCTCTTCTCTAAACCTACCTGGTATCAAAGCCTCAATAGGAGAAACCTAAGCACAGTCACCTTTCTTCCACCGCAGGACTGCCTAGGCCACCCAGACCCTTGCCTGGGACAGTCGACCCCTACCCAGGCCAACTGAATGAAGTTCCTGGCCATTCGGCACTTACCTAGGCAAGCTGAAGCTTCCTCTGTCCTCCTCTAGCCCTGTCGGCAGCCCTAGGTCTGTCGACAAACCTGGAGGCCTTCTCTGTCTTCCTCTAGGCCTGTCAGCAGCCCTTGGCTGGTCGACGAGTGCCGTCGTTGCCTTTGTTGCCTTCGTTGACTAGTGCCTTATAAGTTTGAGTTCTTCTCCTTCGTCTTTCTTTCTTCTCTATTTGTTGTCTCTTCTAAAAACACCAAAACAAAAACAAACAAACAAACAAACAAACAAAAAAACTTAATTATGCTTGCATAGGCGTAGTGGTGTCTTTCCTTCTACTATTGTCTTTCAGATTTGTGATTGGCATTGTGTTTGAGAGTTAAATAGTAGAGTCTCTATGGCAGATTCCCTTAGTGAGTCCACTACTTCTCAGCCACCTAAGAGCGAGAGTTCCATTATCCCTACTACTATGACTGATAACCTTAACCCTGGCCTTAAGATCACCACCTCTCTATTCAATGGTCAGAAGTATCTAACCCGGTCACAGTCTGACTATTTTTTTGAAGAGCAAAGGGAAGATGGAGTATGTTGATGGAAGGATACACGCACCCAATATCACGGATCCTAGTTATGACCAATAAGAGATCACCAATCCCCTAATCATGGGTTGGTTGATCCATTCTATGGTACCTGAGATTGGAGAGGGCTACCTGTCTATGGACACTGCCTAGGATATTTGGGTTGCTGGAGCTACTACGTACTCTAGGAAGGGGAGCTTCTCACCGGCTTTTGAGTTACGTAGCTCCATTGAAAGGTTGGTACACGGTGAGATGACTATCCTCCAGTATTTTACCTTCCTTAGCAATGGGTGGAAGCGGCTTGATCACCTTCAGGATTACAAGCCTATCTGTCCCACTAATTATGCTGGTTACCGAAAGTTTGTGGTGCAAGAGCGGGTCTTCAAGTTTTTGGAAGGCCTAAATGTGAAGTATGATCCCGTTCGGAGTAGAGTACTTGGTATGGATGTGCTTCCTTCTCTCTAGGAAGTCTTTGCTTTTGTGCAAAATGAGAAAAGTCGCCGCTCTGCAATACTTCCTTCTGCTACTACTGATAGCTCGGCCTTGGTTTCTGCCCCCCTTGCGATGGCGACCGTGTGACCTATGGTTCTCGTCCTTCCTTTGAAAACGATAATCTTTTCTATGACTACTGCCGTAGACCTCGACACCCGAGAGACTTGTTGGAAGTTGCATGGGACTCATTCTGGTGGCCGAGGAGATCGTCCTAGTACTCGAGCGCGGAGGTCTAGTCCGTCTAGAGGCCGAGGGGCCAATGTTCAGGCACATCTTTCAGACACGGTTGAGCCACCATCTTCCTCTCCAGTTGTCTCCCCTACTGCTGATGTTTCGGGATTATCTGCCTCGGATTTTGAGATTGCTCTTCGCCACTTGCTAGATCGTCAAACCTCCACTTCTGCTACAGGTGCACCCTCTTCTTCCTTTGCCAATTCAGGTAACTTGGCTTCCTTTCCATGTGCATTGCTATCTCATACGACTATACCATGGATTATTGATTATGGCGCTTCCGTCCATATGTCTAGCTCCTCTAATTTATTCTCAGAGTATAACCCCTCCTCAAGTCAAGAAAAAGTGAGTATTGCTGATGGTACTATTTCGTCTTTGTCAGTAAAAGGTTTAATTCATGCCATCTCTTCCCTTCCTTTGTCCTCTGTCCTATATGTTCCCAATTTTAGTGTTAATCTTTTGTCTTTGAGTCGTCTTACTCGTGATTTAAATTGTAGCATGACGTTTTTTTCCTAATCATTGTCTTTTTCAGGACTTTATCACGAGGAAGAGGATTGGCAGTGGTAGAGAGGAATATGGTCTCTACATTCTAGATCAGACGAACAAGCTGGCTTATTCATCTATTCAATTACCATCCACCACGGAAGACCTTTGGCTATAGCACTATCGCTTAGTACATCCCTCTTTTTTATTATTTAAGCATTTATCTCCTTCTGTTTTTTAGAAAAATAATGTGCCAGATTTTTAATGTGAGTCTTGTCAACTTGGAAAACAACACAGAGCCTCTTTTGCTCCTAACAATAAAAGTTCAGTTCCATTTTCTTTAATTCATTCTGATGTATGGGGGTCCTTCCCGTTTTATGTCTTTAAACGGTCAAAAATGGTTTGTTACTTTCATAGATGATTGTTCCAGGGCCACGAAGTCATATCTGATAAAAGATAAAAGTGAGGTGTTTTCTGTGTTTCAAAACTTCCATAAAATGGTTTGTACTCAGTTTGGGGCGGTTGTCAAAATTCTACGTCTTAATAATGGAGGGGAATATATTGACTCTGATCTTGCCAGTTATTTCGCCACTCATGGCATTTTTCATCAAACTTCATGCACTAATACCCCTCAACAAAATGGTGTTGCAGAACGCAAAAATCGTCATCTACTTGATGTGGCTTGTTGTCTATCTTTTGAGATGCGGATTCCTCGATCCTATTGGCAAGAAGCGGTTCTTACCGCCGCTTATTTGATTAATCATCTTCCTACCCAAGTCCTTCAAAAACAAACACCTATTCAAGTTCTGTTCGAGTCTACGTCTTTTGGGTTCTCCATTCCTCCTAAGACTTCTGGCAGTATTTGCTTTGTCCATAATCATTCACCCACTTGTGGTAAATTGGATCCTAGGTCTATTAAGTGTGTTTTTCTGGGTTATTCTGCAACTAAAAAGGGTTATAAGTGTTATCATTCTCCCACTTGCAAATGGTTTGTCTCCATAGATGTCACCTTCTTTGAGTCTTGGTCTTACTTTCTCACCACCCCAGTGTCACAGTCATCCCTTCAGGGAAGCCTTGGTGTGAAGGGATTATTCCACTACCACCAGTGGTTAAACAGATTAAGAATGATACACCAACAATTGTTTTGGAAAAGGAAGCAGACAAAGTTTATGTCAAGGATAAGGATAGACAGAAAGTCACCTAAATACAAGAGACTACTTTCCTTCCTCTACTGCCAACTTCTTCTCCAGATGAGTGTCCAAAGTCTCTTCCTCTCCTGAACACCCAGGAAATTCTGATCCTAATGCTCCTATTCTTGAGTTTTCAGATCTTGATGTTCCAATTGCTAATAGGAAGG